AAAGAGAACAGGTTTAGGTTAGATACTGGGAAGAAATTCTTTACTGGGAGGGTGGTGAGGCACTGGGACAGGCTGGCCAGTGAAGCTGTGTGGATGCTCCATCCCTGGAAGTGTTCAAGGTCAGGTTGGACAGGGCTTTGAGCAACCTGGTGAAAAGTGTCTGCCCAAAGCAGGGCAGCTGGAATCAGGTGATCTTTAAGGTCTCTTTGAACCTCAGACATTCTGTGGTTTCCTCAGGCTTCATCCTCCTTTGAGAAGTCATCTCTCTTCTCTGAACTCTTGCTTTCCTTTTCTGCCACTCGTAGAAATTTGTGGTTTTATTCAAGAGTAGAGGCTTGTTCACACTTTGGCTCTGCAAGAAAAATCAAAACAGGTTCACTGGATGACATGAATGTCTTGTATGGATCCTTTTTGAAAATTAAAATGGCTCTAACCCATTTTGGAAGTAAATTAAATCAAAGTGTGCTACACGAGCTCTAAGGAACGGTGGCTGGCTATAGATATGATCCTCTTTATATTGAGAATGTCCAAAATTCCTGCCTTTAATTCAGGTGGAGCTTTGCCTGTGCAGAGTCACAGAATTTCTTGGCAGCCTAGGACTGGGAAGTTTGACTGGATCAAGCTCCTGTTGAAACATCACTGCAGCCGCTCCTGTTCGGAGCGCCTTCCTCGAGCAGCTGTGAATTTGCTCATTTATTCACTTATTTTATCAGGCTCCCGAGAACTGCAGCTTGAGTGGCAATCTGCTGCTGGCCCCGATGATTTCTGTTCCCCACGCTCGGCGCTCCCGGAACCGGCGTGTCCCGGGCACGGCTGGGTCCGGTCCGGGCCGGGCAGGTGCCGGTGCGGGGCGGGCGCGGTGCCCGGGCAGGTGCCGGTGCTGGTCCCGGTCCGCGCCGGGCAGGTGCCGGTGTCGGTCGGTGCCGGTGCGGGGCGGGCGCGATGCCTGGACAGGTGCCGGTGCCGGTCCGGGTCGGGCAGGTGCCGGTGTCGGTGTCGGTGTCGCCGGGGGGCGGGCGCGGTGCCCGGGCAGACGTGGCAGCGCCCGGGGCCGCCCCGGCGGGAGGCGGCGCCGCGGGACCCGGCGGGAAGGAGGGAGGGTCCGGGAGCCGCCAGGTGAGTGGGGTCGGCACCGCGGGGACACCCCCGAGCCGGGATTGGGGACCGGGCTGAGCCCCGCTGGCGGCGCCGGGCTCGGCTCGGCTTCGCCCGCTGCTCCCCCCGGTGCTGCGCGGCTCGGCCGGGAGGGAAGGAGGGAGGTAATCGGGGGGGAGCAAAGCTAAAAAATTAAAACCGTGGTGGGGGCATAAAAAATGGTGGAAAAGAGCTTCCTCGCCAAAAGGAAAAGAAAAAAGGCTAATAAGGGCGTGGGGAGGGAGTTAAAAAAGGAAAGGTGAAAGAAAATCAGAAAAAAGGAAATAGAAGAGAAAAAAAGCAAAAAACAGGGAAACAAAAAGGAAGAAAAAAAGAAGAGGGGGAAATGGAAAATTTGAGGAAAAAAAAGAATTTTAAAAAGGACAAAGCAAACAGAGGGAACGGGTGGGTGGGAGCGGTGCCCGGGCGGGGCGCGCAGCCCGGTGCGGCCGCAGCCCCCAGGTGCGGGCAGCGCCGTGGCCTCGCCAAACCGAACTCTCCGGAAAGCTGAAGTTGCTGGGGCGAGTCCGGGCTCGCTTCCCACGTATGGTGTTCCGCAGCCCTCGTCGCTCTGCGGAGATATGTGAAAACAAAACGAGCTCGGTGATTGCCCGGCCGGTGCAGTAAATGAGTAACTGGGAACAGCCCAGCGCCGCTCTGCGTGGCGTTACCTTTGCTGCGCTGCCGGCCGCTGCATTTCCCTTTAATTCCCCTTTCCTAAAAGACTCCTAAATTAGGTGTTTTTAAGAATTTGACACGGAGAGGAGTCGAAGGGACTGATTAAAACTAAAATGCTATTGGCTGCGGTGTCCCTTGGGAGGAGAGGCTTGAGGAGCCTCCTCTGGCTCCGGAGGCCGTGGGACCACACGCAGTTGTGCTTGGGAAGGCGTTAACCTTTCCTCTTCGAAACCAGCCAGAGCAGCGACACTTAGCTCAGAAGCAGCTTTAATGCGATGATTAATAAAATAGTGCTTTGAAAGGATATGCAGGGCACAGAAATTTAATCTATATAGGAATCTGGTTTTGCAATTAAATATAGAAGTGTTGCAGGAAAAGGAGATGAGCCTTTGTAATGTTTCTGCGAGGTTTGCTAATGCTCTTCTGCTCTCTTGAGCGCTAAATGGTATGGAAAGATTAAAACAGACCTTTGTGTTTAATTTATAGACTGGCTAGTGTATTTGGCAGAAACTTCAGGAAAAATAACAGCCATTTGCTTTCAAGTTAGAGGCTCACTTATATTAGAGGAAAATTGAGTCCGTGTAGTTTATTTTTCCTGCTGGTGTGTATAGCAGAACAAGCTTCCTCAGGGTTGGTGACCAAGATAAAAAATAGCACCCAGAAATATCCCTGTGCTGATAGAGTGCTGCAAGAGGAGGGTGCCTGCCCCAAGGGCTTTCCACTCACAGAGCCTGAATTGCAGAAACACTTGCACGTCCATGGATTGGGATGTGACAGTGAATGCATTTGTTCAGCTCCCACTCCTGTGCTTTACACCCCCTCCCCTGGCTGCTTTGGCTGCCTTGCAGGGACCGATGGATCCAGGAGTTGTGGTGGGATGTAAATAATTACAGAATTGGGTAATAAGATTTTTGGGCAGTTGGAAATGCCACAGAGGAGTAGTGCAGAGGCAATTTCCTGGGATTGTGGAGGAGGAAGATCTTATAGCAAGGTGAGCAGTAGCTGAGCAGAAAGGGCTGTAGAGCACAGGGCAGGAGAAGGGTTTTAAAGCAGAGAAAAAGGAAGGAAATGGTGAGATAAGGGGATTTAAATGTCCAGGCAGGTAACATTTCTTGCTAGGTGTGCTTCAGGTCTAAAATCCATGTGTGCAGCCCTTCTTTTAGCGTTTTGCAAGTTTCAGGTGGGTAATACGGGTGCATCACACCTATCCATGTAATGTCACACACCAGGCACACTGAGGGTGTCACACCAGCCCTGAGCTACTGTAAGGGGTTGGAGCCATCTCCTTCTGACTCCCTTGGAGTGGTTTAGGAGAGCAGGGGGCTGCAGAGCTGCAGCCTGTTTTCTCCACATGTAGATGGGACTGCTGTGGCACGCTGGGTTGTGTGACCCCAGTGAATGCTTTACTGAGTGAGAGTAAAGGAAGGACTGCACTGGGGATTCTGAGGAGAATATGGCTATTCAATTGTAATCTTGTTTCATGTTGTGTATTTCCTTCCATTTTTTATTACTGTGGCTATTTGAAAAAAAAGCAACAAACAAACAGAAACCATGAGCTTTGTTTCTTTAGAGTTCATCTGCTCCTGCTGCTTTTGCCCTGCTTGGAGCCCCAGTCTCCCCCACTTGTGATATTGTGAAGGGTTATTTGCTTCAAGAAATGTGGGGGCAGCAGCAGCAGAGCATCCATGAACTCTCATGGCTTTGGTGCTGCTTAACTGCCCATGTGGGCAGGGCAGAGAAAACCTCCTGTGCTGGCCATTGCAGCCCTGCTGCAGGAGACCTTCTGAAACACTGTGGTGCAGCAGCACCTGCTTTGGTTATTTAATACTGGGCATTTCAAAGCAGAGTAATAAGGGCAGGATGGTGAAAATCATTCAGACCCTGGTGCAGAAATCCTGAGTGACACAAAGCAGTTTCTGTATGACTCTGTGCAATAGGCAAAGCACATTTCTGTTGGGTTCCTGCCCTGTGATTAATTTGGTCTCTGCTCTCCGGTAATGTCACTGTCAAGGCGGTCACGACACAAAGCAGAGACTTTAAGCAGTTTCAGTTGGCAACTTTTTATTATTGAACATGGGTGACTTTTATACACTTTCTAATTGTTTGTGCTTCTTCTACTCTAACTATTGGCTACAATAAGTCAACATCACACTATTGGTGAGAAGTTATAATGACTCCAACTAACTTTCTAAAAATACTTCGTCTAGCTGCAAAGTTCTCTTATCTTTCTTCTCTCAGTCTCGTTAGTTACAGCTTTAAAGAAAACTCTTTATTAACTTCTTCTTACTTCTTAGCTTCTTCTGACTCCTTTAGCTAACAAGCTTGCTGTTAGCTCTTTCTACAAGGTAAGGTGTCCAGCCCTTGGTACAAGCCTTGTGTGATCATGGTTGGTTCTTGTAAGCATGTGGGCTCAGCTGGCCAGCACATCACCTGCCCCAGGAGAGCCAGTGATCCAGACAAGCTGCCCTCTCCCCATTTGAGGAACAAGTCCTGCTCCCCTCTGGCTGCAGCCCTCTTTGTCTTACCCAGGCATGGTGTACTGCACTGAGGAAGAGCCAAAAGGTCTCTCTTGACACCTGGTGTGGGAGACTGTGGGTAAGTGATACACTGAGTACAAGGCAGGACCTTGGTGCGCAAAAGGCACAGCTGAGGCTGATGTGGTCAAGGCAGTGAAGTGATGAGTGGTGCTGGGAAGTGAATAATCCATGTGTCCTGTGTCACTGGAGCACAGGAGCATGCAATGACATTACCAGGCACCAGATTTAAAACCAAGGAGAGGAAATGCATTTTGCAGACAATGCTGTGGAGCTGTGGAGCCAGTACTGCAGGATGCTGGGGTTAGGTTTGGAAAAAAGGCCACCAAGGGCTGTTAAACGTGTGGCTGATGGTGGAGCCTGTGCTGGGGGAGCCTTGCTCTTTGCTTGCTGTGGTGTCCCTCTGGTTCAGCATCTGCCACCAGCTGCTGCTGACTGTGTGGACAATGGCCCTGTGCTTTGGCAGACTGAGAAAGCAGCAGTTGTGTCTTTCATCTTTCCTGCTTCCACAGGGAGGCTGGGATAAAACCATGACTCTTCCACCACGGAGGAGCCCGCCCTGCAGGAATTGGACTGAGCTGAGCTCCCTCCCAGAGCAGCTTGGGCTGAGGCTGTGCTAGAGCTGAGCTTTGGGCAGGCAGAGCCCAGGAGAAGATGTTCAGCTGCAGTGGTGCCCGCAGTGAGGGCTACGTGCAGGAGCTCTTCCATGAGGAAGCACAGCAGGTATGTCACAGAGCCAGCTCCTTTCCCAGATTTCCATCTCCATGGCCTCTGCACTCCTGATCACCTCTGTGAAAGGGAACAGGAGTGAAGTAACAGAACTGCCCTTTGTTTTGCTGTGTGTGTCTGAGGTGTATGACTTAGGAAGGGAAAGAGGAGTTGATATCCAGAGGAAGGAGTTGCCGTAGGAAAACTGCAGTTTCCCTGGAGCTTCAGATCTTGGTTCCAGCAGCCACCGTGATCCAGAGCCCCATGTCTCCTCGAGAAGCAAAGGGTCCTGATCAGATATGGCTGTGATGGGAAAACCCTCTTAACCTACTCTGTTGGTCCCAGCTGGTTTGTCATATCCTCTAAGGGACTTCCCCCATGCACTGAGAGCCCTGCCTGCCTTGGTGGAGAGTTTGGAAGGGACAGGAGGAGCAGAGTGCGTAGCTGCAGGCTCTGGGAAGGACCCTGGAATGGTGTTTTTGGTTGATGCATTGGGGTTAATTCACTGAGGCTCAGCAGGGCTCTGTTCCTGCTTATCCTACAAGAATATAAACAGGGAATTGTAGGAGCCATCTCTTTCAGGGCTCAGATATCCCAACAGCCTGACAGCCCCTTCATCTTTGGGACAGCTTGCAGCAAAGCAGTGTCTCAGCAGCTGTTGGTGTCCATCCCCCTGTTGGTGGCTGGCTGTGGCCCATAAACATGAGAGGTAACCCCAGGCTTTGCTTTTCTCTAGGTATCTCAAACACAGACCAAGCCCTGGTGGAAGATCCAGCTGTTTGTGTGGGAGCCAGTGCTCTTTGGAACGTGGGATGGGGTCTTCACCTCCTGCATGATCAACATTTTTGGAGTGGTTCTTTTCCTGAGGACGGGATGGCTTGTGGTGAGCAAGTGCTGACTTGGTTGAATGTTTGAACAGATATTTTCCTCTGCCCTCCCTTGCCTTTTATCTCCATCACCACCCAAGGGTTTTGGATTCTATGCTCTTTGTTACAGATGTTGCTCATACCCTCTGGTATTTTGTAGCTTTTCAAAAAGTTCCACTAAAATGTGCAGCTGAAGTGACCTTTGTGAGTGGTTTCCTACCTCAGCTTTCAGAAAGAGAAAGGAAAACACAGCAGCCAACCTTGACAATGAACAGGGACACCCTTGTGTCGTATTGTTGAGGAGAAATTAACACTTTTCCAGGTAAAGCCACTCACCCATCCTCCCAGCACCACTGAAGGAGCTCTCTTCCAAACATGCCAGTGCTGGAGTTCCTGAGTTTTTGAATGGGGAATCCTCAGTCACGTGAAATTGTCATTGCTATCAAAGGATTTTCCACTGCTGGGTCCTTAACAGCATCTCTGAGGGTCAGAGTCTGGAATGCTGTCCCTTCCTGATGCAAAATATTGTATTATGCCTCAAAATTTCCCCTTAGAAAAAGGAAAGTTTCCCCAGAGATGGATGGGATGTGAGCTTCAGGCAGAGTTTTTGTTACAGGCATGGTGGACACCTTCCAAAAGGAGCAGGAAGGCACTTGCGCTCTGCGCTGGAAATGGCTTTGCTGGAGGTGTTGAGGGGAGCTGCAGTTGCTGTGGTGGGGAAGTTGGGATGATTTTTTTAGCTTCCTTTTCCTTCTGATTTTATTTCCTCCACATCTCCTTTGAAAGCAAGTTACTTCTGGAGCAAACACAAATATAAACAAAGCCAGTAAATGAAAGAAAAACAGAACCAGCTGGAAGCTAGCATGAAAGGGAAGGGAGGAGAAGTCAGGGCTGGCACAGAGCTCCCCTGGCAGAGGACAGTCATATGTCAAGCTATTCCCAGAGTCAGGCTTTTGCTATAAATTTCCAGAGCTGGGGCTGGGGCTGGGGAAGCTCTGCAGTTCCAGGGGACCAAATCTTGCTGAAATGTTCAACAGGGATTGCTGCTGCACTAACCCCTTCCAGCATGCATGCATAAATAAGCATCAGTGCTTAATGGGGGCTTTTCCTTCCCACTTTCTCTGCTTGCTATTGTTGCTGTGAGCCCAGCATTCCCCCTTGGTCTCGGTGTTAACCCTTTATTCTGTGGGAATCGTTGGTTTGCTCATTAACTGCTGCCATAGCCTGGTACCACCTTTCTGGAAAAGCCCAAAGCTAAGTGAATGTTTGCATATGTTTGCTTTTTTTTAATTTATTTTTTTAACTGAAGCATATAATGTTTATTAACCATTTAACCTGGGGTAAGCAGCTGAATAAAAAGAACAATTGTCCTTTTAAAAAGAAGTATGGGGTTTGGGTGGGCTGTGGTGCTGACCCAACCACAGCTGTGTTTATAGCAATCCTTGGCTCTGCTCCCCACTGACCAGATAACAGCCCTGTCACAGGCAGCAGGATGCTGAGCCAAAATAGGACTTTATGATGATACCAACATCCTGGGTATGTGTCTGTTTTTTTCACAAAAAAAAAGAGAAAAGGAAAAAAAAGAATCTGGGATTTCAACCAACCCCAGAGCAGGGAAGCAATGGTGATAAAAACCCAAAAAAACCCATCATGGCCAGTGTGACCTCGGAGATGAGCATTGCTGGAGCAGGGTTGGAGAGAGGGGATATGGACATGGCCTGGAATATGAGTAAAAGGAAGGGAAGCCAGATGTTAACAAAGCACTGGGCACTGGAGGAGCCTTCTGGTTGCTGTGCACTGGCCTGAGTGATTTGTCAGCAGGGGAAGGTGGGCTGGAGCACGGGGGAAAACTCCTGACCCTGGAAAATAAATTACAGTGCAAGTGAGTGGGAAGGCCCTGAGCTCAGAAGAGTTCTTAAATTCTTTTGGAGGTACCAAGCACCTTTTCCTTCTGAAAATCTGACCCTAAATGGCAAACTGAACCCCTCCAAAGAAAGGGTTGTGCTCGTGTTTAAATTTGCCAATGGGGACCTGCAGGTTTGTTTGTTTGTTTAGAGAGTTTTTCTCTTTGCCACGCAGTGATGGGCACAGCAGCTCCTCCTGCAGCCCTCCCTCTGCCCCAAGCAGGAAGTGTTGGGGTTTTTTTTCCATGGGGCTGAATCCTGTGCAGGAAAGTGTCCAGAGGCCAGGCAGGGCGAGAGCCACCTGCCCCTGAGCACACCCTGCAGATAAGGGCTGGTGCATTCTGCTTTGGGAGAGCATGATTTATCTTCCACGCTGCCTTGCCTTTGGGGTTTGTTCTTTGGCATCTCATTGTTTGCAGGGATCAGAGCTTTCAAAGGTAAATGTTCTGAAAAATTAAAATGCAAGCTTGATGCTGGTAATAAATCAGTCGCTGCAAATCCCAGGAGTTCAATTTTGGAACTGCTTTTTGTTATGAAAGTGTTTTGGGTTTTTTTTTTTTTGAAGCATGTCATTCTAAACCATGCAGACAGGCAGTGATCCCCTGACTGTGGTGGCTGAATCACTGTTTGACCTCATTCCTTTTAAAGCAGTGGACAAAATCAGTGATTCATGGAGGAGCCCATTGACAGGGCAGAACCTGCTCATGCAAAGGTCTGCCCAGCCCCAGGCTGCAGGACAAGGTTCTCATCAAAGGGGTGCTAATAAAGGCTCTAAATGTGGCAATCAATTATGTTAATTAGACAAGTAGGGGTGTCTGTGTGTTTTTAATCTGTAATGACTCCAGATCCATAGATCACCAGTGACTAGAAGTGCGTAGGTTCTTATTCTGTCCCAGCAGATTGGTGTGAATTAATCTTTATTTGATTTTTTTTTTTTTCCATTCCAGGGAAACACTGGCATTGTAATGGGCATGTTTCTGGTGTCCTTTGTCATTCTGGTTGCCCTGGTGACAGTCTTGTCTGGAATTGGGGTGTGTGAGAAGTGCAGCATTGGAAGTGGGGGAGTCTACTCCATGATCTCTACTGTCCTTGGAGGTCAAGTAGGGGGCACCATTGGCCTCCTTTACATTTTTGGCCAGGTAATTTTAAAAAGTTACTCAAAGAGAATTTGTAAACTTTGCAATGCAGACATTAATCTCGTGCTGTCCTGCTGCAGAAAGCAATGCTTCAGGTAAAATCTGGGTAATGCGGCATGGGAGAGCAGCTCAGGGAGCTCTGAGCCCACGCTGCTCCCCAGGAGCAAGCCTGAGCATGGCCATGTGCTGCCTGGCATGGGCACCCTGGCGGAGGAGCTGAGTGTCTGGACAAGCCCTGCAGGACATGTCCTCCCTTCCCAAATTACCCCACTGCCAGGACATGCCCTTGCTGGCAGGAAACTGAAATTAAACCAAGCAGGAGAGGTCAGGGTGGCCAAGCAAAGCTCATGAGAGGCTGTGGGCTGGCAGGTTGGCCTTGGCATGCTCCATGTGCCCTCAGGGACTGGGCAAGCCTTGGCTGCTTCTTGTGGGAGCCAGCACAAGTGGAGCTGGGCAGGGTAAGGGCCACAGATAATTGACTCCTTGTGAGCCAAAAGTCACAGTTCTGCATTTTCTGAACGATCCCAAGGAGCTGTTGGGGTGGTGAGGCACAAAAATACACAAGCAGTCTACAAAAAGAATGGAAAATAATCACTTAAACCTGCAGTAACTTAACCCTCTCCCCCCATAAAGATGTTATGAACAGTATAAAATGTGGTGAGCAGAGAAGCATTTTTATGGAGTTTTGTTTTTTACTGACTGGCTTACAGCAATCTCCAAAACCCCTGAACAGCCCCCAAACCAAAAATAATCCCCTCTTCTGCTTTCACTCCAGATTAACAGCAAGTGTCCATAAAACACGAACTGAACCCAGTCACAAGCCAAGATATGGAAATGGGCCACACATGAGAATCCTTCCTGTCAGATTTTCCACTCCTGCTCTCTGAGAGGACCCCATCTGGGAAAGCAATCAGCCTGCAGCCTGTCCTGAGGGTTGTAAAAGCTGGGCTGCAGCAGCCCTGGCCCTGCCTTGGCATCCCCTGTGCACAGGGGCTGGCAGCTCACTTAAATCACTTTGCCTGCTCCCCAAAGCTGTTGATGCCTTTCCTCTCTCAGCTGTGCTTTCTGCCCAGCGTGCCCTGCACCAGCTGCAGGCTGATGCTCTGCTCAGGATGCTCAGAGGTGCTGTAAGCTCTGCCATAAGGCAGCTGCTGCCAGAGATGGGGCACTCCCTGTTCCCTGCTCTCCCTGGGGTCAGTGCGAATCCTGGCCATGTGCAGCAGAGGAAAACTCTGAGGGTGCAGCTCCCTGATCTGCCTGCCTGTGATGGAAGGGAATCCCCAGGATCTCCAAGTGCCCAGCTCTGAACATCTGCCTGCCATCAGCCTTGCTGAAAACCTCACAACCCTGCAGCTGCTGGTGTGAGGGCCAGGCTGTGCTGCTCCCTCAGCGGGGCAGTGCTGGGTCAGTCCCAGGTGGGGATCTGCAGTCAATGGGGGCTCTCTCTTGCTGTCCTTGGTCCCTTCCACATCCCTCAGCTGTGCACAGGGTGCTGGGGTTGCAGCCCCAGGTCACAGCAGCCATATCACTGCAGCTGTCTGCCCTGACCTGGTTTTCCAGGGATGCCAGGCACTGGAAGGGCTGTTGCTGGAATGTCAGCTAGCAGGAATTTCTGGAGTGAACTCTCCTGGTGTTTTGGGGGGTTGTGCTGCAGTGTGTTGGAGCCTGTGCTGCAGATGTCCTGTCCTGAGGCTCTCAGCCCCCAGGGCAGAGTGTGTGGCCTGTCCTGCTGCAAGGCAAACAGGGACATGTCCTGGGACGTGGCTCACACAATGTGCTCTCCCCCAGAGGGTAGGCTCCATTCCAGCAGCAAGATGGGGAGCTGGTGAAACATCAGGGTTTGCATCCAAACTAAACACTGAGTAAAAATAACCCCAGGAGGCAGGGAAGGGGAAAAAAACCTGCTACTTCAGGCAGGTGTTGAGAGCTGGGACCCTTTCCTCAAGAGAAACAGAAGAGGGGGAGAAACAGAAGAGGGGAAGAAACAAAAGAGGGGGAGAAACAGAAGAGGGGAAGAAACAGAAGTTGGGTCATCCTTTTCTCTCTCAGAGAAGCCTGTGAGGTTTCTCCTGGAGTGTTGATAGAGGGTAGATGTGACAGTAGAACCCAGACTCACCTGTCTGCCTGGGCAGCAGCTCTGCTGCCTTGGCAGTGGCAGTAACATTAAAGGTTGCACTGTGACAGCCAATGTCTGTGTGTCTGGGGCTGTGGATGGGATCCCTTTTCTCCGTGGGGCACTGACAGAGCCTTGTCCCTCAGTGTGTTGCAGGTGCCATGTACATCACGGGCTTTGCAGAGTCCATTGCAGGGGTGCTGAGCCTCAGCAACATCTGGGCAGTGCGTGGCGTCTCCCTGGCTGTCCTGCTGGGCCTGCTGGGAATCAACCTGGCTGGGGTGAAGTGGATCATCAGGCTCCAGCTCCTGCTGCTCTTCCTGCTGGCTGTCTCCACACTGGACTTTGTCATTGGGTCCTTTACACACCTTGATCCAGGTAAAGCTGGGGGTTCCTTGCATGGGGGTCAGCAGGCATTCATTCCCTGGGGTTTTCTCCTTAGCTGTGTTTGTGCAGTGACTCTCGCTTGGACAGTGGTAGAGTTCAGAGCTTCCAGATGTGTCCCCTGTCCTTTGGTACTGATCTATTAGAGACAACCCATAACTTTGCAAGGAGTGTTTCCAGAGCATCACTGAAGATGCCTTATTAATTTAGATGTTTAACCCCAGGGATTGAGCTCTCAATTTGTGCTCCTGTTACGTTTCTGATATACTTCCTGATACTTCTGAAGCAGTTTCAGGAAAGAAAAAGAGGGGGCAGAAAAGGTCTTAAGGAAAAAAGCAATTAAATAGAGTTTAAGCCATTTCTTAAGTCATAGCATACATAAATGGAACAATTCTGAAAGAAAAGCTTAGGACATGACACTGGATAGTTTATTTAAAACTTGTCACTGATGATTAACTAATGTCAGTGTATGATTGCCAAGCTAAGAAGTATGAAGATGACAACTTTACATAAGGATTTTTTAAAACTTAGCAAAATGGTCCCCGTATCTTCCAGACCTTGGAAGATACTTGGAAGTTTTCTAACAATAGAGTGCATCTGTGTCTGCAGAGTTCTTTGTAGCCTTCTGCTGCCTGACTCAGCACTGTGCCTGTGAAAAGGAGGATTGTGAATTTGAGCTCTGGGGATCTTGTGTGGGCACCTCTGAGGTCCCTCAGACCCTGTTTGTGCTGAGCACTCTGCTGGGAGTGCTGGGTGTGCTGGGGATCCAGCAGGGAGCTGGGGGAGGGCAGGGGGCTGACGGCGTTTCCAGGACCCATGGGTGGGAATTCAAGGACCCATGAGTGGGAATTTCCCCATAACTTTTCCCAGACCGAGGGCAGCCTGCAGTGGCAGCTCCAGCTCGGCCAAGGGGATGTTCAGGGCTCCCACCTGCAGTCCTGCTCGCACCAAGTCCTGCTCCCTTTCTCCTGTGCTTGCTAACACGTTTCAGGGCGATAATGCAGTGCAATTAGCTGACTAAACAGAAGGTGTCACCTTTTTCTTGGCTTCCTGTGTGTCCAGCAGCGCCTTGGGGGTGGCAAGTGACCCACTGAAGTGAGTTTAAGGAAACATCTTCAGTTTTCATTGGCAGCTGTGGTTCAGCAGCTGGGCTGGGTGGCAGGAGGGGTCTTGTGGGTATTCCTAGCTCCGATGGCACAAGTGTCATTCGTGCTGCTGCTTTCTTTTGTGTGCAGGGACAGAAGCAGCTGCTCCCCTGCCAGACAGAGCCTCATGGAAAGGCATTTACACTTTATATTTAGCATGTGGGAAATGCCCCAAATGAGAGCCTGTGAGAGTTTCAGCAATTCTTGTAAATGAGAACGAAGCAGGGGCAGTTGTGTTGCTGTTTTGCAGGGAAAGCAAGTGACCTGCTCCAAACAGCTGTGCTCCATAGGAAGTTGTTTTCTGGAGGAAACGGGGCTGGGGGGAGTGTGTTGGATTTTTGTTGTGCTCCTCGTAGACCTTTCTAATAGCAGAGAAAGATGAATACTCGAGGTGAGACCACATAGTAGGAAAGTGAGCACAGGACCAGGAGGCAGGAATTAAAGGAACACAAACGTCAGCATCAAACATGCCCAAGTGGAGCCCACCACAGTTGTCTTTGATTTCTTCCACTGTAATTTTCTTCTGACAGAAAATAGCGACAGGAAGGGAAAGGAGGCAGCTGAGCATGGCAGATGCTGCAGCTCAGCCAAGGCTCACTGAAGGAGAGCAGGAGGGGAAGGCTCCCAGTGCTGGAGCAATCGGGCTGATGGTGCCGGAGCCCGGAGCAGCTGCCCTGGGCTGGGACAGGGCACAGCCGGCAGGGACAGCTGCGGGTATCGGTGCTCCCACACACCCTGGGAGTGCTGTTCCCTCCGGCCTGGCAGGGGGATCCTCCCGAGCGCTGCATTTCCCCAGAAAGCCTCTGAGCGGTGTGTCAGCACCGAGGGTGAGCGCTGGGCTCCGAGGAGCCTCCTCTCGCTGTGCTGCTTTCTGTGCAGGATGGATGGATGCATGGATGGATGCATGGATGGATGCCTGTCTGTCCCTTGGGATCACACCCACCAGCAAACCATCCCTGCTGCGAGGAGCCTGCAGGTGGGACACGCCGGTGGTGCTGCAGCTCCAGCCTCCAGAATGAGCTGGTGACAGTGGCAGGGTGCAGAGCACCAAAGCCCAGCACCAGGGGAAGCATTGGAGACCCCTTTGGGGTGGGAGCTCCACTGATCAGCCCTCAGGAGCGTGCTGCTGCTTTCAGATTGGTTCTGTGGCTGCAGCAGGGCTGAGATGCAAAGGCAGCATGCAGGGAGAGGGGGTTTTTGAGGCTGGAGCTGTGAGCTGCATCGTGGCTGACAGCTTGTCTGGGTCACGTCCTTGTTTTATGGCAGGTTTGTGGGGTTTCAGTTCACAGCCTTGGGTCTCAGTGTCTGACCCTGTAAAATGGGCCTTGTGCAGCCATCCTGCCTTTTCCCTCACTTCACATCTCCAAGTGCTGCACACACACACACATGAAGGGACTGCACATCTGCCAAGCAGCAGTTGCTTGAATTTAAATAATCTCTAGGAATGTCTGTCCATCTTGAAGGCCTTAACTGGCTGCCTTTGTGTGGCTGGGCTGGGTGGAGTCCCCTGCTCTTCTCCCCATTCCCGCGGCTCACACCCAGGCACACACCAAATCGGATATTGTCCAAGCTCTCACTCCCTTCCTGTGGTTTGCCTTTATTTTTAGTCTGAGGACGGAGCATGTTTACACAAAAGGGGGCTTCTCAGCAGGGCTTCCTGCTGCTCTTGCTCCTTTTTTTTCCTCTCTCTCTCGCTGTGGCTCGCTCCTGCTCCGAGAGCCGGCTGGGCTGGGGGAGCTGAGAGCCTGCAGCAGGCAGGGACTGCTCGGGGTCACTTGTGCAGACTCCTCTGGGGCTGCCAGGTGCCCTGTCCCTGTGCCTGGCCCCCAGGCTGCCTGCAGGGCGGGGTGGGACTGGCTGATTTTTTGGAGTTAATCCTAAACCCTCCCTTGGCTTCAGCTGGCACTTCCCCTGGGGCTTGGTCGCATCCCAGGCTGGGATCTCTGCCAGGGGTGGGTAGGGAGGAGAGGGGGCTCCCTGTTCTGTGTGAGAACCAGCCTCCTTGAGCTGCCTCTGCCCACCCAGCTTACAGTCAGTCCCTCCTCCAGGAACAGAGACCCCCATGCTCCAGACAGGAGACATCCCTATTTCCTTTCTCCCTAGCACAGGTGAGTGTTTTTAGCAAACCTGACACAGGTGAATCAAAATCAGCCAGTGCTCCACTTCTCAGCCCATCACCCAGACCCAGCAATGGCTGCAACATAGCAGCAATGCAGGGTTGTTTTGGCTTGTGTGTGTCTGTATTTTAACGATGGAGGTCCATACCTCAACATCAACCTGAGTTATTTTGGGAGGAGCAGTGAAAGGAGAGGATGCTCCTCTCCCTGACCAGTTTCTCAGAACAGTATGTGAAACTTTTTTGGCCTTTTCACATCCTGAACATTAGAGTCACGGAAAAAAAAGAAGATAAGCCATTTGTTAATGCCCACTATTTTATTTTCCTAGCATATCTCTGCTAATTTTTGTGTAGGGTGACTCCCAAATACTCCCTTTCAATGAGGCGCCTGCTTTCCTGTTTTGGCAGTGGCTCCCAGGTGCCCTGTGAGAGCAGAGCTGCTCTGGGAGCAGGGCTGCTGTTAATTTGGTTGTGCTTTGATGGGAGATGAAAGGAATCACAAGAGGCCCAACAACAGCCTCTTAAATGCCTGGTGGGGGTGAGAAATAAATTATCTTGTTAGTAATTCAGTAATTGTGTCCCCTTGGGCTGGGATTCCCCGGTCCTGCAGCAGATGGTACCACGGGGCTGGGGTGAGCCTGGAGCTTTGCTCTGTGGGGCTGAACCCCTCTCCTCAGGCTGGGAAATCTGGGTAGCTCCTTTCTCAGGGGTGCAGGGAGGTTTGAAAGGCATATTGCTGTCAGGGTGCTTCTGCTTGGGATTATTTTCCATGCAAACCACATCCTTCATGTCACCTGCTTGGGTTTCAGCTTCCCTAAGCTGCTCACACAGAGCCCAGAAAACTCACTTGTCATCTTCACAAGTGCTCTGGAGGATTCATCCCCCTCCAATGTTCTGTGGCCGAGGTGGGGAGCTGATGCTGTCCTGTGGGTACCACTGGTGAGGATTTGTGGGAGATGAGTTTTGCCTGGAGCTGCTCCAGCAGACAGGGAACCTGCAATTGTTGGGGTGATTTATGTACATAGACACTCTGGTGTTGTAAAGATGCCTCAAATGCTGCCTCTGGGGCTTCGATGGACTGAATTAATTAAAAATATTCCTAGAGATTGAATATGAAAGTGATCAAAGCATCCTAATCAGGGGCTTCTGCTTGGCTGTGGGTTGTTTTATTTTATTTTTGGGCACAAGGGGTGTGCCCCAATATCATAAGAGAGGGTGCAGGAAGGATGTGTGTGTCAAAAGATGATCTGCAGCAAATCCCAGAGGCTTTATCCAGGCTGATTGCTGACTTCCTGGCCTGAGACACATCTGGAAACTGGCACCAAATCCCAAGTAGAAATCACCGTGCGAGCGGCAGCAAAAAAAAAATAAAATCCCACTTTGCTACTGAACAAGGTACACACCGTGGTGAATAAAGGCAGGAGGCTGCTAATACACTCCTTATTTATTAAAAAACATTGGATTGCTTTTCCCAGCTTTTTCCAATTATAGTGCATTGAATGGCCCTGACATCACTCTTGAGTTGGGGCCAGCCTATTCAACAGTCTGGCGAAGACATTTATTAACTGGTTACCTGCCAATTGTCTGGGCTAGGAGCTGCGGGACAGATGTGTTTTGGAAAGTGATAACATTGTTAGAGTTCTTATTTAGATAGGGAGAGGAAAGCTACACCGCTCTGTCCAGGTTCTCTGAAGCAGGTATTTAAAGCAGTTTATTTAGAAGAAAAACCCCAA